ACGATTTTCTCCATCTGTGTAAAAGTGATTTTCACTTCATTTCGATGGGCTCACTCCCCGGGAAAATTCGCCCCAACCCTCGATTGCGCCCTTGACAGTTTCAAGTGGTTTTCCAAGGCAATCAATCAAAAGGCGGCTAGAAGGAAAACATTTCCCGACAAATGTGCCAGGAAAAGATCACCGGTCCGAGAGGGATGAGTCACTTGGGAGCGGGATGAGGATTCGGATTCGGATTTGGAGGATTTTTCTGGGTGCACAACACATGTGGTCACAGGCGGACAAAAGGCGGACAGAAGACTCGGTGCGTCTTAATCCCCGACGTCTTCCGCTCATTTGCATTTCCCAGTGTTTTCCCTACTGACTTCTCCTCGAATCAACTCGCACTATCTGCCCTTCACTAACTCTATTTTCCTCTTTCGTTGCAGGTAAAGTATGATCAAAACCCCGGAGCAGGTAAGTGAGTTAGGATCCCGAAATGACAGACAGATTAACTTTGTGGCAAAAGTTTTTAGTCCGAATATTTCTTCAGTATTTAAAGAATATATTTGACGATTAAAAGGTTATGAAAAAAGTGTGCCATTGTAAAGAAGTTTATTAACGTAACTATTTGTTTTATTTTCTTCATATAAAGTCGTTTATTAAACAGTTTTTTTTATACACAAATAACCTTTTATTCGTTTGCCAAATAAATATTAAAAACATTCTGAAAGATAGCAAAATTAATTTAAACAAAATAAAATTTAGACTCCGACGGTGTCCTTGAGATTAGCGGGTGGCGTTGGGCGGTATTGTTGCCGTGTGTAGGCCACGTTTGTTGACAGACCCGTCGGCTGGTAGAAATGGAATTGACACTTTTGTCGGCGGCTGTCAAAAACAGAGCAAAACAGCCCAAACGCCTAAAGGACATCGTCCTGGATGACCCGGCACATTTGTTTAACCGGCAAATTTGCCATCGATTTTTCTTTGGGTCAGTTAAAGTAGGCTGAATGATGACTCGAGGAAAAACAAAAAAATTAACTCGGAGGAACTTTACTGCTCAGAAAAAAGCTAACATATATTGTTATTAAACAAATGAATAGGTATTTTTAATATAAAGCCCGTCAAAATAACCCGGCTTTTCTTTCTGTGCAGAGGGTGTGAGTCGCAATAGATCAGGTAGATTTATATACAAGTGTCCTAAGCCTTTTATGGGCCTTCTAAGCGTTGAAAGTCACAAAAAATTAGTAGGCAAAGGAAAGATTCACGGAAGAAGCAGCCGAACAGGTAAATATGCAGGTAAACTGGTAAATTCCCGTGCATAAAATAAAATCTCTTTGAATGGAATTATTCGTACTTTATAAATTGTTCTTAAAATCATTTACGATTAAAATAAATAATAATGTATGGAAATAATCGCAAAACTAAGGTGAACCAAAAAAAAAAAACAAAACCGCGATATAAAACTGCCGTTCCGTGAAAAAAGTAACTAGAAGGAATAATATAATAATACTGTAACATTTAAGCACAAATTTGAGTCCATATAAACTATGAAAATAGCACACTTTTTTTAATAACTAAATGACTACAAACGGGAACGCAACATTAACAAAAAGAATTTTAAAAAACAGTTTTTAAAGTATTACAACAAAGTGCATAACCGAAATTACTAAGTAAATCAAACTCGAAAACATGAAGATTCTGTATCAGAAAACTCCAGTGACTTCCAAACTTAACAGCTGTAAAACGCCTTGCCATAAAACACATCGTGCCTCTCGCTCCAACGCAATGCAACGCAGGCCGTCCCGTTCCGACACTGTAGTCGCTCTCTCTCCGCTCCGGCGAATTCGGACAAAAACAAACCATTAAGAGCGCGAAGAGAGCGCGTGCACTTGTCTGTCAAGATTATGGCGGTTTCACTTTGTTTTTGTTGCGCTGCTGCTGTTGTTTTTTTTTGCAGCGAAGAAGAAGAAGAGCGCCGACGGCAACTCCTATTTTTCTTCATGTGCCATTTTTTTAGGTTTTTGCTTTCCGTTTTTGCTTGAGTGAGTGAGTGAGCGAGCGAGATGGCGCCACATCAAGTTGATATCGTGTCGTCGTCTTCATCTTTTGCTGTCGCTCGTCGTTTGCGTTTGATAAATTGCGTTTATAAGAAAGAGATGAATTGTCATGCACACAACACACACTTCTCGGCCGGCGTCGTCGTCGACGTTGGCGTCGCTGTCAGCGTTAACATTACTGTAGGTGTGTGTGAGTGTTTAAATCATATTGGCTGCCCCCCAATTGCTGTGAGTGTATGGGTGAGCTTTTCCCCCTCCCTCCCGCTCCCTCTCTGCGACCCTCTCTTTCGCTCGTCTGGGATTGGAAGTTTCCAAATGCAATTTTCCTTGAGGTTTTCCCGAGTCGATTCCTTGTCGGCTCTTGTTTTTTTTTTTTTCGCTCGGTGGGTGGAGACCCAGCCCCCTAAATTCGCTCTCTTCCCCTCCATCTCTCCCTCCCTTTCGCCTCTTGATTATTTTCCTTATTTTGGGTGATTTAAATTTCATGGTCCCTTCAATTTGGCAAAGTTCTAAATATTAAATTAAATTCCTGCCCCGTTTCTGTTGGGAAAATAGTTGAGCTTTTCTCGGTCTCTCTAACAGTTTGCTTTTTGTCTTCCTTTAAATTTTACAGATGAAATTTGTTTCATGAAAATGTAACTTTATATCTTACGTTAGAAATGCAGATGCTAAGTTTACTTAATAAAAGTGCAACTTTTGTATGTATTTTCAAATCATTTAAATATTTGATAAATGTGTAAGATAAACCTAAAACTGACGAGTTATTTATGTACTTTTAATCAACAAAGATTTTATATCTTTTCTTAGAAATTATATCTTATCCATTTTAACCGGAAGAAATAATAAATGTTTTCGGGAATTGGAATCTGATTAAGCGTTAAACTGCGTAACTTTCCTTATTGCAAGCACATTTGATCCATTTTATTAAAACCCAACTAGGGAAGACTTTTCGGTGGAATCCTTGAACTTTGTCGCCAAAATCGCGATCTGTGACCTTTCGAATTTAATTTAGTCATCAGACTGAATAGTTCCCACACTAGAGCTTTCGCCTAATTTATTGCATTTAATTGATTCGTTTTTATGTGATTTTCGTTTCTCATAAATTACTCGATTTCTGGTCAGCGAAGCCGCACAAAAGTTGGCCAACAGAAAACTAAGGAAGCCGAATCCCGAACAGAAAGAAGGCAACCGCAAATCAATCAAAGTCTCATAAATTTGTCAAAGTGTCGACAGGACACAGACCCCCTATATCATAGTCCCCAAGATATCGGGGGTATTTCGAGATGCCCAGATGCCCAGAGATGAAATGGCAACCAGATTAAGTGCAACATCATCTTTTTGACCAGCGAAAACAGACACGGGAAATCCTTTTGGCGAGCGTCGGAAAACAAACAAGGCTATTTTTCATTTTCCTAAAAACGGCGGCCAAAGCGCCCCGTCTCCTTCTCGCCCAGTATCGCCATCTCTTTCGTCGTAATGGCAACTGCAGCGCCAAGCCAAAAATACGCTGGTGAAAAATTGCCTGGGAATATGTGTTAACTGCTTTTTAAACTGCCACGAGGACGACGACACGACAGCAACAACAAGAAGAATAGCAAGGATTTCGGTGTAGATACGAATATTTTATTACCCTAGAATGCTAGCTTTTACTTATGTTATGTTTAATTCAAATCAAACATCAATTTACTATGGAAACTGTTGAATTTTTGTTTAAGCTTAACTAGCTCAGTCTGCTATAAATTTATTCTCAGAAACTTGAAATAAAAACTTGTAGTATTCTCATTATTACTCATAGTCCGTTGTTAAGAAGAAATTACCAATTACTACAATAGTTTTTAAAGTAAGACAGCCGAAAATTTTGCAGGAAATAAAATAGATTAGATTCTAAACGATCAGTTAAACCAAAAAATTTATTGAAACTCTTAAAAACATAGGTGATATTTTTAAGCTAAAACACTTCTTGTAAAGGGTATTTAACAAAAAACAAAAATAAGCTGAGTCGCCAGACAGGAGCGCAGAATGACCTGCAGGATATGCAATTTTTAGTGAATGTTTTTGGCAATTTATGACCGCGCTATTTGTTGTTGCCAGCGAAGAACGAAAGAGAGAGAGGGGGAATAAAACCCAAACAGCTGTTTGTTGTTGTTGTCAGGATCATATCCTTTCAAAGTGGCCAGATCGCCGTTACAAAAAAGGAAACTGCAGCGAAAAGTTTGTTTTGTCGTCGCCGTCAGTTGTCTTCTTCTTCTCCTTCTCCTTCAAGTTTCTTCTCTTTTTTTGCCGCTTTTCTTCGAAGGCGTTGCCTATTCGCGCGAGTGTGTGTGCGTGAGTGTGCCAAAAGAGAGCGAAAAGTGAGCGAAAGCTGATGGACAACTGAAAAGCGCTGCCCCACTCTGTGCCCCCTGCCCCAACCCATCCCCCCACGCTCGCTCTCTCTCTCTCTTTCAACCTGTAAAGGTGCGGCGAAAGAGAGCCAAGCTGCCAACTGCCACTCACTCAAGCGAAAATAACAAATGGGATTGGTTTTTGCTGATTTTCAACGCCACGCACCGCGACGCCAGCAGAGGCAGCAACAGCGACGCCGGCAGAGGCGAAAAACCCATAAGCCGTCTCCTTTTGGCCAAAGCCAAATAAATTTCAAACGCGGCGAAACGTTGCGCAAAAAGAGAGCTCGCCGGAGCGTGCGCATAAACAACAGCGGCGAGTTATATCGTATATTCCTCTCGCTCGCTCCAACTGAGTTATGGCCCTTGCCGTGTTAATGGCACAATTGTTGCATCTGTGCCAGAGAGAGCGGGAGAGCAGGGCAGCACAATGATTGACAACCATTCGGTACCGCTCGCACCCATCGCGCTTTGTTGCTGGACTGTTGCTCTCCGCTCTCTGGCTGTTAGTTAACAGCGATGTTAGGCCGTCTGTAGAACTAATTCAAACGTATCTGGCGGGTTGGTTTTTCGATGAAATATCTTTCATCCGCACAGTGTATTTTTGACTGCGAAGCGCGTACGACGTGTGTCTGTGTTGCGTTGCGTTTTGTCGTAAGCGGAAAAAAGAAGCGAAAAGCGTTGCCGTCGGTGAAGTTTATTATTATTATTATTGCCGTTATACGCGTTCTCGTAGGAAAAGCCCAACCATCAATCATAACAACAAAAACACTTGGAAATCGCGCGCGTTTTTCCATCGCGTCTCGTTCTGCATTACGTTTTTTAGTGTGTTTTGTATTAACAACAAATTAGTACGAAGAACCCCGTTTAAAAAATATTGGAATTGGCCACAAATACTATTATTCGAGGGCCGCAGAGGGAATTTCTTTTGACGAGGGGATCCGCCGATCCCCCCGCAAGAAAACGCAAAATTGCCGTCGCAAAAGCAAAAGCAAAAGCACAACACAATATATACATTACTATATATTAACAATATAATTTGTTCATCTCTAGTAACGTAGTATGTAGAAGCAGCTGTGATAAATAGTGCGCATATTATACGAAAAAAGCAAAAAGAGTATACGACATATAAAACAAGCAACCACAACTACTACTAAAATAACCAAGGAAAAGGGCAAGGAAACTCAGAGAGAAGAAGTACGGAAAACGCCATGGATTTATGACAACAACAAATGCTACACAACAACAAATGATGTTGCAGCAACAACAACAACAATACATGAGTATACCAAGAACAACAGCAACTGCAACGGCAACTAACCACAAATTGTATACGATTTTTATAAACCAAACAAATTCTATGTAAATAATTATTATAACAAAAAACCAATACAAAACAAAAACAAAAGGAAAACATTCAAAAACAGATCTCCCGCTTATAAGAAAAACAACAACAACAAACGCGCGCGTAACAACAACAATACAACAAGTATACAAACGTAATAATAATACATAAAATCTAAACAAATGTGCCTGTGTTAAAAAAGAAGAAAGCAAAATAAAGAAGCAAAGCGTTCAAAAAGCAGAAGCTTCCGAATAGATGTAAAAGTGCAAAACATATAAAAACCCCAGAAAGTATAAACCAAAACTCTAATCAAGAACTGGACAAACATAAAAGGGACTCCACGCCGGCAGCTACAGTAGAGCTCCCCTAAAACAGAAGCAGTTGAAGCGGCGGAGAGGGACGTCGGTCAGTGTGTTGCGCCCCATTTGTCGTTTCTACTCCAAAAGTGGCACAAATCGGGTTAGACGTCGCTCCCAGAGCATTAATGGCTCAGCCCAGGGTAAGTACAACACCCAGAAATCGGGTGACTATATAGAAAAGTTATAGGCAAGTCCTCAGAGTGTGCTGTTATTCCTTAAAATGTAGCGGCGGCATTATAATCGGGTGTTTTAATCGGTTTAGTACCAAGTCAAGGAGCAAAAAACCCGTCGGCATAAAATGGTATAAGTTAAAAGTGCTTTTAGAGTTAACTTACCAGTTTTAGATACACCTTTAAAAACAAAAAGTATAAAAACTCCATTTTTTCACAACAATTATGTAATTGTGTACCAGTTTGTATCTTTAGTAAAGCAACAAAATCGGAAAATGCCCATCATCTGCTCTTAAATCCACTCCATTTTAATCGATACAATGGGGAATTCAGTTCTTTTTATTAATATAACCCCATCGAATCGAATTTTACCAAAGTGCCTGTGTGTTTGTTGGAGTAGGAATAAAATCATTTTTGTGTTATGCGGGTTATTTTCTCATACAAGTTTATGTAATTAACTGAGCCTATGGGCATCCACTTCAATTTGGGGAGTGTAAGAAATCTTTTGTAGAAAAGTGAAAGAAAAAATCTAAACATTTCTTATAAAATGGACTTGTGGTTTCCCTAAAAATTAATCAACTAAAACAAGTAAAATCCAAAACATTAAGACTAGGTATTTTGTTTGGTTTCTGAAGAAATAATGTTAGAAACAACATTCCAGGAGAACCTGTAATAACACACGGTCAAAGGTCGAGCATTATGAACTATTATAGCTCACAGAAGACTTCTCACTTTCGCACCATAAATATTTATTAGATTTTCGTATAAACATTGCTCGGACCTTCACCTCCGAAAAGCCCCCCGCTGGAGATCTCCCGACGTTTCCACCATTTTCCATCACGTTTATAAGGCATAAATTCTCGCCTCAGTTTAAACGGAGTAATAATATTTTACAATCCATCTGGATCGTAAATTATATGCTAATCAGGTGACCGGCAGTCTCCGCGCTCTCCCTCTTCAACATTATTACCAAATCGCAGTTAGACTTTATCAATTGATTATCATGGACATGCGAAGTGAACTTGATTTTTATTTAACGGAGCAAAAAGACTTCAAACATGGCTGTGTTTTTGTGTGCGTTACCAATTAGCAACTGAGTGAGGTTGTGTGTGTGTGTGTCTGCGTTTGTGTTACCAAACGGTGGGCCGAGCTCTTTGGGAGCATTAAAAGAAAAAATCAAAATGAAAAATACGAAAATAAAAAAAAAAAAAAAAGGGAAAAAGAAAACGAAATGCCTGCGGGAATTGTGTGTGTGCGGTGTGTGAATGTGTGTTACTGGCGAATAAATTTACGCTTGTGGTTTAATACCCGATTCTGTCCCGAATCCACCACTCCCCCCAAAACCCCCCTACGTAATTCTCCTGCGGCTCTTTTCCCGAATCGCGCCATTTCAATTCCATCAAATGAATTTTTCGACTCGGGGCAAAAGATATATACGGGTGTTCTGTCCGACCGACCGACCGACTGTCTGTGTGCATTTGATGCATATAATTTTATTGCACATTGCCAGCGGCCCGAGAGCGATCCATTCAGTTTCAGTTTCTCCCGCTTCGCGGTTTTATTATTTACAATTTTATTTTTACCATTTTCCATGACTACTACTACTCGGGTGCTATAATTTGCGAAAAATGGCGGGAAGCAATTTTCGCGGCTTCTTCTCGCTCTCGCTCCCCATGCACATGCATTTTCATATATATTTAATTTGATTATTTTATGCCACCGAAAGAGAAAGAGAGGTTGAACGCAGAAAAACCCAAAGAAAAAAAGAAAAAAATCGGAAAATATGTGCAATTGCAATTTGTATAAAAATGTGCATTGCAGCTGCTGCAACTGCCGCTCAGCCTCCGCAACCTTGCCCCATCGGTTCGTGTGCCATTTCAAACGCCTGCGAAATGCAGCACAAAAATTGTTTTGGTGTTATTTTAATTTAAAGGTTAACCGCAGCGTAATTTGTGGCATAAAATATAATTCGTCTATCGTGTGCCCGTTCTCTCTCGCCTCTCCCACTGTTGGTTCGCCCATTTTTTCTTTTCGATTTATTTCGCTTTAGAAATAAAATCAAAATAGAAAAGATCAAGGAGAGCGGAGCAGCGGAAAATGCCACAGTCGATGCTGTGGTTTACTTTGGTGGTCAACAGCATTTACAATAGTTGATGGAAACATTGGCAGTTCGGTTTAGTTGGTAAGGTCACATTTTCAGAGGGGAAACCCCATCAAATGTAGACTAAAAAATATATAGATCAGCTAGAAAGTTCCTGGAAAAGAAATTATGACAGTTGGGAATATTTACTTCTTATCTGTTCCAAAAAAAACCACGGCTTATAAATAAAATATTCCGAAATACATTTTCCCCGCAACGCCCTTATCATTCTGCAGAATTTCAATCTTCGCTAGCGGTTAACCTTCGCTGCGAATTCTTTTCTAATTAAGTGAGCAATTCTCCGCTCTTCCCAGCTTCCCCGCATGAGTCACGGCTCCAGAAGAGAGTTCCTTCCGCGACTTCCTCGGTCGCCCCGCGTTATCTGCAGATTTCAGATATATCTTGGGTTCGGTTGAGAATTCGCTCTGCAGACACTTCACATGCCAGCGAAAATTGAGCGACTAGGAAGCGTCGGGCTGAGAGGAATATTTATAAACAAATTACATATGCATATTTCTGCAAGGGGAGAGGGGGCTTTCGGGGGCACAGCACAAGACTCTATATGGGGCCTATATGGGGGCCTCTCCTTGCCCCATCTCCATCTCCACCGTCCGATGTTGTTTTTCGTGTGCTAAAGAGCTTCATGTTTAATGATCGAATTGCGTGCCTGATTCTTGGGTCGGTGCCTGCTGGTGCTATAGTTGTTGCCTGTGCTGTTATGGCCATAGTAGTATTATTATTTTTATTTTCTGCCTTACTACACATAGTTGCCAAGTTTGACGAGGTCGCTAGCTGCCGTTGGAAGTGCTTTCATTAGTTTCACTTCTTTTTACATTTACGCTTAAAAGTTTTTTAAATAATCCCCTTTTTTTTCTTTGGCGTAATTTCCCCAACATTAAGTCAAAGTGTTTCGCTAATATTCCATCAAATAAAACGGAATTACTGTTTTGGCTTTTGGCTAGAAAACTCTTTCGCGGAGATCCATCTATGAAAAAGTGCCCAAACCAACAAACAAAAACCGAATTGTGAAGCCGAAAGTGTACAGACAAAAATGCGAAGCAAAAAAATGTGTTGTAAAGTAGGGAAAAAATCATTTAGACAAGTTGCACGCCGCTCATTAAATTAAATGAGCCATCAGCACGCAATTTATTTTCGTATTTTTGAGTAACTTTTGGCCTCGGCCAGGAGACGTCGGCGAAAATGGCAACTCCAAAAAGACTTTGTTCTTTCCGCTTGGAATTTTGTTAGGAAAGTTGGCCAAGTCCTCGGCTAAGAGCCATTTAATTAAATAGCTGGCAAAGCGGCATTTTTTGAGAGGCAATTCGGAGGGATGCACCAATTACTGAAAGTGAATTTTATTTATATAGTGCTCAACATTATATTTTATTTCCAATTAAAACAGGGAAGTTTCCTTTGTTACTTTGTATCAAGAGATTTCTCCTGAATTTTTGTACTTATTTTATTTAAATGTTATACTGCAGATTCCGCCATTTCCCGTCAATTTAAATTTCAAACATTTTCCTTAAATTTCCGCCACTAAATTGTCTTCGCTTTCTTTGCTCTTTAAATTCACAGAAAGCAGCTAAAAATATTTTTTAAATTCCTTTTCATTCGATTTATTTTTGATTCGATATTTTTGTTGCTTGTATTTTCTGAACACCCGAAATTTAAATTTACCTTTTTGGACAAATTTTGTTGCTGTTGGCCGACTCAGTTGGTTTTTTGTTAATCATCTGCCAGTTTTTGTGTCTGCGAGTTTGGGGCTCATTTTAATTTAATAAATGCCACGGACTGACGTCATTTGTTGTTGATTTTTGATAAATGTTAAAACGCCAAAGAATTCATTTATTTTTTCCCTTGGTCGCTTTCAATTTGGCTACCGAGCATCTAATTTTTCTGCCTTAAATTTATGCATATATTTCAGTGTTATTTTTTCGCCTGTGCTAAGTATTTGTTTTTAGACATAAATTAAAGGAAAGATACAAAAAGTTAGCGCACGTTTTTGCCTATTGTCAAGATTCAGTCGACGTTTGATGTTTGCCTGCTCGATAATATTGTTATTATAAGCAATAAAAGTTAATAATATCGCAGAGGACGAAGCGTGTTCGAAGTTTTGTTGGCAATGCAACTGTAAATTAAAACAACACCCAGGCACGCAACAAAAATTAATTGTCTAACACCAAATAAAACTTTTGAGACCGCCAAAAAAGCTGGGCGTGACTTTGCCCACAGAGCGAAGGGGGCGTGGCAGCGGGACACACCTACAACTGCGGCTCGTCTGCTAATTAAGCAAAGCCAGAGCCCCCAGAAAAAAAGGGGAAGAATTATAGAGAAATATAGAGAAGAAATGGAAAGAAATTCAAATACAACATGATAAACAATTAATTTTGATTAGGCCTTCGACCGCGCCAGCGCAATTAAGAAGGTTTTTGTTTTTCCTCTTTTTTTTGTTGGTTTTTTTTATTTGGGGTACGAAAATTCAGAAATACAATAAATAGAAAAGGCGAAAAGCAAAAGTGTTGAGGGGCGAAAGAACGCAAGAAATCGATAAACGAAGTCGGTTGTACAACAAACATATTGAGGCCTTTATGCGGGGGAAAGTGGGTGGCGGACGATGACTATACGATATATAATGGCGGCCATTGTCACCATTTTGGCCAAAACACCAGCACACACGCGCCTCTATCGCTATCTCTGTCTAGCATTTCGGTCTGGCTGCATTTTTGCACTCATAACTCTTCTGCCGCTGGCGTCTGGTTTTTGGTCAGTTTTAGGCGCCGCTAGATAGAGCCAACCCCCCGCTTACCCCCCTTTCGAAACCCCCTCCCACATTCAAATGGCGCCCCCTTAAATGTCCTTGCTGTGCGGCTGTTTCCGGTGCCTCTTTGGGTTTTTGTTGGGGCAACATTTGCAGTTTCAAGTTCACGCAGGATTTCGTTGGTTTAGGCACTTGGCTTAAAGATAAAACATACCTGTATTTAAGTTCTGAAACTGGAATGTATTTAAAAACGAAATAAATAGTTAAGCATTCGTATATTCCTTTTTGTTTGATAAGCTAAAAAGAAAGTTAAGTCAATATTGATTGTATCCCAAATATAATTTTGTAATTATTTATTTTAATAAATATTTCCCTTTTTCAACATTAAATTTACCGTTGTTTTCTGTTCTCAAGAAAGTTACACATTTTAGCTAGAATTTAAGTTCCTGGCTGCCAACTAAGCTAAAGTTTAAGTTCGCTTTCCCAACTCACAGATAAAATCTACATATTAAAGCTGTGCCCGAAAGTACAATTGAGTTGTTCCTGTTCAGTTGTAGGCTGGATTTTAGCAATGACTTAATGTGGCCCAAACACGACAAAAACATACCAGTAACACACACACATACGACAGCACCAATACAGACAGACAGCAAGTGGGACGCGAGCTGGAAAACGCAACTCCCCCCGAAAAAAGGCTGCTCCAAAAATACAAACAAAATCGTAGCTCCTTCAGCGCCTGTCACTGACAGTTTTGAATACGCCACCCACTTTAGTCGTGGTTCTTCGTGTTGTTTTTGTTGTTCTCGTTGTTGTTGCTGTTGTTGTGCCTGCCATGGGGGGCGTCATAAATTTTTGAAGGATTTTCGACGCTGAACTTGTCAAAATCAGACCATGGGCCTCGACTGTTTGGTGGTAGGTTGGTCGGTTGGTTGGTTGGCTTATATTGATCCGCTTGGCCCGAGAGCTTTTCCATTCAACAAGGTCAATGGCTTGGTCACTAAACAACAACAACAACAGCAACAACAACAATAGTAGAGGAGAAAAATGGTGAAAAATACAAGGGACAGGGACAGAAAGCGAGATAGGGAGACCTGGCCGAGAGAGATCATCAATCAAAGTTGGCCCAAATGGCCGGGGAGTTGTACCGAAAAGGCAAAACCGAAACCTAAGTGTATTTGCCTGTTCGATTTTTACTCCTCATTGTGTTTTCTTGTTTTTCGTGTGTGTGTGTGTGCTGGTGTGTGTGTTTTTTCTGAGCTCCTCTTCGCGGCGGCGGCTCAAATTCCCACATTACTTATGTACAAGTACAAATTGTGGTAATTTTCAAGATCTCTTTGTTGGCGAGGCTTTGCTCCACAATTTCCTCATTTCTAAACGAACGAATGCCGAACGCCGAACGCCAAGAAATCGAAACAAACAAAAAATAAAACAAAAAATAGGAAAAAAAGGCAGCGTTCGGTTGCTGCCACCAACACTAAAATTAGCATAACAACTTTATAGTTTAACAGCCATGAACTGAGCCCCGGCGAACCGAAAAGCCAACTCGAACCAAGCCGAACCGAACCGGGCCAAAAACGAACCGAACGAACTGACTAACCCGGACAAGTCGGCAGTATCTATGGGTTTGTATCTCGTGCATGTGCACACAAAACGGAGGCAGCACGACCGCCTCACTAAACTAATCTCCGGTGTGTATCTCAAGGATTGCCAGCCTCAGAGGTTGACAATCGTCGCAAAAGTGGCCTTTTCCCCCTCGCCTAAGCCTCCTCTCCTATTTTTGAGCCACCTGCGATCTGCAGAGTGGCAGCTGCCTCATGAGTCGCCCTGCACTATTTCAAAGTATGGATTCCCAGCTGCAAATCCTTGACATTTTCGCCAAACACCAACCAACACTCCACTCCACTGCACTTCACAGCCTGCCCCTTTCGCACTTCCAGCAAGTCAATTGCTCATTTAGTGTCAAAGATTTTTCCAGGCTGATAAAAAATCAACCTCAACTTGGAGCTCCCCATCCCCGTTTCCCCTTTTCCCCAATTCAACCATCAACCAACCATCTACCATCAACCATCATCTCTTGTCGCTGCACAAAAATCTTTTTGTCAACTTCTCCGCGGCGTTCCCTCAAATTATGCAGTGTGAATCGCTGAGGAGAAGTGTATCTTCAGTCGACGCCACTTGAGTACAAATGATAAAAATCTCACACAGATACTCGCACTTACACACACACACATGCGCCGCCCGGTTGAACTTTTTGTTAAAAAGGGGGAAAAAAGTAAGAAAAATCATTTCTCAGTTGGTTTGGTTTGGTGTTATTATTATTATCGTTGTTATTTCTGTTGTTGTTGCTGGTGGCGTTGCACACAAACCTGTTTGCAATTGCGCGGCTTCACAAAATGTTGTACAACTTTAACCGGAGATAGAGAACAAAATACACACACACACACACACACACACACAAACACTTAGTCAAAACGGTTGGTCAGATTAACTGATAATATTCAAAATTGTCTGCTGCTTTTGGCGCTTAATTAATATGCAAAAAACGTTGAAAGAAAAGACGAGCGGCGAATGTATAGATATTAAATGAATAGGACTGTATGGGTTGGCAAATGTACGAGTATATATCCATATAATGTCGAAGCAGCGGCAAAGTAATCACAAGGTCGTCAGTTGCTGCTTGGCTTTGTGTTTATATTTTTTTTATCGGCATGTTCTTCTTTTTTTTAGCGCTAGTCGAGAGTCTTCAATTTAGAAAATGTATTTAAATATATGTGTTTAAAGAAGATTTCATGTCGCCGCTAATTTAAGTGCACTTGGAGAAAGAAGGGGTTCAAAATTTTAAGTTAAAAAAATAAGTTGAAATGTTGTAAAATTTCTTCTGTTAGGAATGTCTAATAGGAACCACACTCTGAGGACTTTAAAAAGATTTAAATTAATTCAAATAAATATGTGCTTATTTAACATACAAAATATCAAAAAATTTCTATAAATATTTCCTGGTTTTAGGCTTTGTATTTTGCTATTGAAATATATAAAAACAGGATATTCTTTTTGAGTGAAATGAGCACTTTTGTTTGGATATTTGTTCTTTCTTTCTTTGTTCTTTAACTTACCTGGGAACTCTACTAATTTATGATTTCCTCTCTCCTCCGATCCTTTAGTATGACGATGGCCTCCACGGCTACGGCATGGACTCCGGTGCCGCCGCAGCGGCCATGTACGACCCACACGCCGGCCACCGGCCGCCCGGCCTGCAGGGCCTCCCCTCGCACCACTCTCCGCACATGACGCACGCAGCGGCGGCGGCGGCCACAGTGGGCATGCACGGCTACCACTCGGGGGCCGGGGGTCATGGAACACCTAGTCATGTATCGCCGGTCGGTAATCACCTAATGGGCGCAATACCCGAAGTACACAAACGTGATAAGGATGCGATCTATGAGTGAGTATATCATCCATCCATCGCAGAACTAATGGCAAATCGCCGAAGGTGGAAACCCTGTTTTCCACACACACGCGGAAAAAACCTATGATGACCCAAGATGATCTTGTTTTGTCAAATCCAACTGAGATTCAGATTAGCCCGATGTACTGAATGAAGAATGTGGGAAACGGGCCCAGAAAACTAGCTTTAGCTTATTCGCCTGCTGTCAAGTTGTCATTGATTAAATACTGAGCAACATGCTCAATGAACACTTGAAGATCACTCAAGTCATTGAATATACTGTAGACTTTGCTCAGTAAAAATTATTAATTACTAAGAATATTTCAATGCGAAATAGTCGTAAAAATTTAACGACCAATAGAACTGTTTTGGTGTGATTTTTATTTATTTTAATACAAATAATCTTTTTTTTCATGAGCATAGTTTAAATGAGGTTATCAGAGCACAAAAAAAAAACAATAAAATTCCTGCCATTCATACTTCTTAAGATAGTGATCCGAAAACCCCAACAACATAATTTAATCAAAATATTAACCGTTGCCAATGCCTTGCCTTTATCGATTTATAATTTTCGGCATGTTCGCCAGGATCCAGCCCAATTTGCCACCTGTTTTCACCTGAGTGAGGGAGTCGACATCGTTTTAACGCACGCGTAACTCAGCTGAAGGAAAAAAAGAAGGGATCCTTTTTTGTAGACACCGAACTGGGCGTGATCCTCTGCGTTTTGCGCAAAATACAAAATTATGGGTTTGCCTTTGCGGCTGGAACTCACACAGGCTACGAAAATGTCCGTTTTCGAATTCTATCTTGGGGGTGTGTCAGGTGTTTAGTGACGGACACGGAACATGAACGTGCTTAGGCATTAGGGAGTCCAAAGCCAGCCAAACCAAAGAACCAGAGAACCAGTCAACCAACCAACCAACCAACCAACCAATCAGCCAAACAACCAACCAACCAAACAGCAAAAGAGCCATCGAAAATGAGGTGCAGTTTCTCGTTCTGCGGTTCGAGTGTTAATTTGCCAAAATTGTGGTTTCTTCTCCATTTGGTTTTTTGTGTGTCTTTCTTCTCGGGGCTCTTGGTTTTTTCTAACCCCATCGGAAGAGCCTCAACTTTTTGTGTCATTGCGTGTCCTGGCAATTTTCATGTGTTGCAACTGTTTTGCCAGCTGTCTGAGCGACTGAATCGCTTGTTTGCTCCGTTTTTTTCCCCTGCATTTCTTGTGCAAATATTTGCTTTGAAAGGGAATTTCATGAATGACTTACGAGGTCTTCAATCAGCTGTTTGATCACTGTTTGACGATTGTCCCTGTCTCGAGTGTCTGCTCAAACACGATGATTATGACTTCATTGAGCACCTGTCATTATGATTATTATTATTTTTTTGGCACCTTTTTTCCCAAATTCAATTTGAATTTACGGGAAAAGGCAAGACAAAGGGAAAGAGCTCTCTGTTTAACACCTCCTTGGCAGCAACTTCAGCTGCTCTTTTTGCCTGGTCATCGTAAATGAGTGTCAGGCGGTCTTATTTTAGTCTTTTTGGTTTTCCTTTTTTTTTTTTTTTTTTTTTGGGCCCTGCTCCTGATCCCAGACCAAAAACGCACTCAACTGTAAAGGGCTGAAACCCCGAGTCGGACTCTTATTAATAGTTTGTTAAGCGCAGGTCGACACCCCCTCTTTCGTATTTCAGTTTCGTATTTGGTTCCCTGGTTTTTGTGCCATCTAATGGGTTCTCTTTCTGGTCAGGGGCACCGCCTAATTTTGTTCAGGTGCAATTTGTGCGTGAACAGCACAAAAAGAGCTACAGAAATTGAGAAATTGGGCAGGGAAAAACTACTACAACCACTACTCCTGGCACGGTCAACACAAAAAATGGTCAAATCATGTTGAGTTGTTGAACTAATCCGTCAGCATGAAGAGGGGGATTATTTGAGTGTGCATGAAGGCTAAGAAACCGAACAGATACACATGCATATACAGATACAGATACGGAAACAAATACAGATGCAGATGGGAAAGGCAGCTGCTCATTTGCATTTTGCCAGGCAGGAAGTGTCCAGGGTTTCGAAGGGAAATCGAAGGAATTAGTTACAATAAAAGAAGGCTAAGGAAGTTCATATTAAAAGTAATGCAATTGTTAATGATTTAGTAGTGTTAGTTATTTTTATTTATTTTCTCTGCCTGCAAATCTTCATTTATTACCACTTCGATGAAGATACAGATCGGGGCAGCTGCTCATTTGCATTTGCCGTTCGTAGGGCAGCAGGAAATGTCCTGAAATTTGACCAACTGATGTATCGCGTACTAAACTAAGCCACTTTCGTTGCAGACATCCGCTATTCCCGCTCTTGGCGCTGATCTTCGAGAAGTGCGAATTGGCCACATGTACGCCGAGGGAGCCCGGGGTGCAAGGTGGCGATGTCTGTTCGTCGGAATCGTTCAACGAGGATATTGCAATGTTCAGTAAACAGGTAAGAATAATGGCCTCGCCTTTCGGTAATTGGAGACGATTTGCCGAAGGGGAAAGAGGCGGAGGGGTAACCTCTTTCTATATCTCTGGGTATCTTTTGGGGGATGGGAACACATGGCCCACATGTGGCCACTAAATAAATATAAATAAGAATAAAAACAACAGCAGCGAAATCGCGGCACACGAACTTAACGAAGCAAGCCGCTAAATGATCGGATTACATTGCCCCGAGGATCGTTGAGGATCGATTCTCTCCTTCCTTCATCTCAATGAGCGGGGCAGTCTGCACTTAATTACAGTCCCCGCTGACAACAGCAACATCCCAGCAGCAGCAGCAACATTCCCAGCAGCAACAGCAACAGCAACAACAACAACAAGAACAACAACAACAATGTCTTGCCGCCATATGTCACAAATATGCGATGTGACTCCAGAATGGCGCTGCCCACACTTGACACTTCCTCCCTTGGCAGCATCCACGCCCCCTTTAGCGCCCACTTTTTAGAGTTCATAAAAGCAAACTAAAGAAGAGGAAGATACCCTGCCTGACACACACTGACATTTGGATAATTTACGATGTTTTAACATACAAATTATAATGTTGCAAGTAGCTGATGCCGTTGATGCTTCTCTTGCTGCTCCACATACATCCTGCTGCCACCCATTTTCGTCGGCGGCCAGCTATTTTTATGAGTCAGTGAAGATCGCATTTGAAACAGTAGACGCGCAGAATCCAAATGATGACGATGATGATGCCAAAACAGAACTTATGGCTCCATTCAACGCTCGGCGACATTTTTTGGCGAACAACAACTGCAACGTGCGACGCCCCCAGTTGAATATTATAAAAATGATGTTCTTATTTATGGTCCATTTGGAATTTTGACAGCCTCCTGCTATGGGCAATAAAACGAACAACAACGATACGACAACCGCAAGAACAACGCAAGACAACACTCAAAACACCATCTCAAAGTTGAGTCACATTTATCAAGATTCTCCATCCATCCGTCGTACGTCTTTGGGTTTTTTGGATGGGTGAGATTTTGATAGACTTTTGTCAGATTGTCAATGAAATGTCGCTTAAAGTTGGGGAAATCTGAGGATCTGGCAACGCCTTCGAACAAGCTTTAACTTCTATAAGTCTTAGAAATGGTGAGATTTTTCGCGGATTATACAAAAAAATTTAGGGAAAGGCTTTATAAAATTATTGGTAAACCAATTTAAAGATGATGCTGGTAAATGATAATACATTTTTAGTTAGTAAAATTTTTTTGTAATTCCCCAATAAGTAAGAATATCTAGCTATCCTGCAATACCATCTCCAATGATCCCATCTTGCAGTTGACATTTGTTGATCATTCACCGAACCGAACGTCAACAACTAAGTTGTCGCTTGCATTTGGTTTTTATTTCGGTTTTGCCTCGAGTTCAGTATAGTTTTGGCTGAGTTCCTCGGCTGTCGTTGTTTTCGTTTTCTCGGTTGTTTTCGTCGTTGTCGGGCTGACAAAAATAACTCAAAAATGTCATTCGCCCATCGAATTTTAACAAACGAGCAGCGGAGCAGAGGGCCAGCGTCGTTTTCTTCGCCCCAGAAGAGGGGCTAAAAATAAGGCATTGGCACTTTTTTACCCGCAGTTGTCTTCTACTGCTGCTGCTGCTGCTGCTGATGATGGCGATGCATTTTATATAGATAGATTGCATAGATATATCTCTTCGTTGGCACTCTCCCGCTATGCTATATATATTCACTTTAATTTGGACTAAGCAACTGCGTAAAATGCGCCACGCCAACGCCAGAGGCAGGGTGATATTTTCCTTATTTTCCACCGATCCCCAAAGCAACCTCCCTTATCGTCCCCAACCCCTCCCCCTTCCCCACTCCCCACCATTATATCTCGGCCGATCTCTTGTGAAGATGATGCTCCTCTGGATGGGATGGCGGGCATAGTTAGGCGACTTTTGGTGTTGGCGCTGCTAATGATGCAGCTAAGGAAACGCTTTATAATTTCTCTTTAAAACCAGCAACATGTGATGCAAACGATGAACAAAAAAATAAAGACCACAAAAAGTCCAAGAAGAACACTCACTCGTATAAATAAAATGCCCGGCAAAAGTTCGTTGTCTGATCGCTTCTTTGTTGAGGATCCCATCCCATCCGCAAATGAGACAAAGGAACAAGCGTCTGAGTGTGCGGATAATTTTATAATTTCACTTCAAGTAATGTTCAACGAAAATAAGCTCGTTTCTTGACATTTTGCTAATAGTTTGGACATGCGATGAGTTGATTTGTTGCACGCTGCAGTCGTCGGGGGGAATCGGGATTGGATGATTAATGAAGTGCCTCTGGCTGTCCGTCCTTGACATTTGTCTGCCTGCCTAACAACTGTCACAACATTTCAGGCTGACCAAGGCGGGGAAAAACAAGATGAGAGAAATGGGAAGGGCAGGTAGAGGAATTCTAACCGAAACCGAACAGGTTAAGTCCTAATGCCAATCAATGTTTTCGGGGCTTTGGTTTTCTCCGGACAGGGATTGGGTTTTCGTTCGGGTTTTCCCTACAAAAGGCAATTTACTGGCTTACCTTTTTCCCGCTCCCCCTCCGCGTTTCTCCCTCCCTCCTCGTATTTTTTTTGTTTCGTAAATTGCATTTTCTGATTTCGGCCGAAACGGAGGAGGACGGTTCATAATCAGGTATGAAAGGTTACGCTTCGCATTTGTGTGTTTGTATTGTCAGCAGGAGCACTGCCACAGCCACAGCCACAGCCTCGAGATCTCGTTGGAATGTTCACTTTGGCGAGGGATCTCTGTAGGAGAGATATCTCCCTTCGTCCCATCCCGCCGCTCATCTCCTTTCTCCTCTACGCATTTGCGTTTCTCCGCTCCTCGGCTCGAGAACTAAAAACGAGAAAAAAGAAAAGGAACTTAATCTCTTTTGTGCAATATTCCCTGCTTCGACTCTCCGCTGTTTTGTTCTTTTAATGATAAAAAAAAAGAAAGAAATACAGAAACCTTTACCTTTTTATTTGGAATTTGGTACCTTTTTAATCTCTCGCTCTCCCTCTTTCTAGTTATATTATTAAAGCATTGTTCTTTTGGCTTTGGTTCTGTGCGATCGCAACCCTTAGCGGGTTTTGAATTTCTTGGCAGAACAAAAGATTCCCTCTGTTATTTTTATTTCCTTTTCCATTTTTTTTTCTTTCGGGTTGTTGTTAATTTTATTTTATTCTGTTGGCCAAACTGCGAAATGAGCAAAAGCGCGCAGACGCAACTGTTTCCACAAAAATCAACAAGAGTCGAGTCGCCTGAGGACGGGGGGTTGAAAGTTCCTTAATTTTGTGGAATTGCGTTGCATTCATTCCCCGTTGATGTTGATGTTGATGTTGATTGCCGCAATTGCACAGCGTGAATTGATTTGGCACAGCCGCCGAAAAAAGGGGGCCGAAACGCAGGGAGCGCAGGGTGGATTTTGGATTTTCCAAGATTATTTACTTAACAGTTGCATAGACGAGCCGCAATCCATTAGCAGCCAGCAGACGAGATGCGTTCCAAATTCCCTCAAATATTTGTTTATGGAACCACTTGGCGCCTTTTAAATGTGATTATTTAGTTAACTGCCAGCATATCGCTCTCTTTCTCGTTCTCTATCTCTTTCTCCTTCTCTATTCCTATGTGTGTTTGGATTATGGCAACATTTTCGTGCTGCCGCCGAACGGACTGACTTTCAATATTTGTTCAGTAGTTTGACCCTTTTTAACAGCTCTATATGTGCCACGCACTAGAATGTGTATCTGCTAGATACATAATGTCTGTGGGGCCATTAGAGCGCCCCATCAATTTGCGCTATCCCCGATAAACAGATATACCCATTTCAACTGCATATCATATGGTAATATTTTAATACCAAATTCAAATAAAGGAATGTGAATTTAATTTACAGATGCATTTCTTGTTTCTCATTTATGGGAATGCCTTTCTCCCTACGGCTCTTTTTGAGGAAATCGTTTCACTCTCTCGCTGCGCCTTTATTTATGTGGCGTTACTTATGGGGAAAATCCACCTCACCCCCCCAGAAGCTAGCCCAAAATGATTTATGAGCGCCGGCTCTCGAGACGAGATGTCTGCTAAACGCTCTCAATTAAAAACCAAAGCACAACGAGCGGCTGTAAAATGACAAATTGTGCCACAATTGACAGGCGAACTTGTCAACCGTCTTTCTCGGCTATAAAGATATATAGCATGGGTTCATGAAGCATCTCTGGTTATTTGCACGATTATCAGTTAAAGACCGGATGTTTAGTGGCAACATTACAATTATCTCTACCCTCTGTTGGTTGCGTTTTGGTTCAGGTAAGCAGCGGCCAGAAAATCTCTTGGCCAATGCAAATATTGACGTTGTCTTTATTTTTCTACTGTGTGTTTGCCCACACGAAAAAACGAAGTGGTGTAGTGTAGTTAGGTGTAGTTTGTGTATCTGAGCGGTAGCCCCAGTGCGTTTGCTTTTGGGTCGTAAACTGAAGTATCTGGAGTGAAGTACTATACTATACTGTATCTCCCTTCATTCCGGGGACCCCGCACTTTTTCCAGAGGGGTGTACGCATGGGGTTATAAAAAGAAACTGTCGGTGGGGGTCGACTCGAGTTGAGTTGAGTTGAGTCTCTGGTTTTGTTTCTAGTCTCTGCTTGTGTCACCTCAATTGCGCCCTGTTTTACTACCGATATTGTGCGCCCATTATAAAGATATAGATAAAAAAATACAACAACAAAAACAGAAACAGAAACAACAACTACTACAACTATGACAACGTTATTGTTTTTGTTCTATTTGTGTTTGTTGATGCCGGGCAAAAGTAATCAACAACATTAAACAAGTCCAACATCATCGTCATCGGTTAGGCAAATAAAGTTCTCTTTTTTCCTGTTGGATTTCGGTTTTGTATTACAACGAAATTATTGTTATTTTTATGAGTGGGTTACAGCACAGTGGCGGCGATAAAAACTTTCGAAGGGGGTTCCAGAAACAATTAAAATGATTGTTATACTTTTTTTTTACCTTGATTGAGAATCAATTTAAAAATCGTTTCGGTAGTATTTTTGTTATGTTTTTTTAGCATAACCCCCTTGAATTGAAGACTCTGGTTTTTGGTTATTGAGTAAGCTTTTAGGCACCTAAGCGTGGTTCCATTTTCCCATTGTGTAGGTGTGAGAAACCCGATATGGTTTTGTCTCGATTCGAGTTGGCTTTAGTTTCGGTTTCTGTTTCGCTGTTTGAGGTAAGTGCAATTTTGCAGTGACTGAGCAGCGATATTGTTCTTCGGATGTTTTTTTGCGGTCACAGCCGAAGTCTAGACAAGATTTTCCTCTGCCCAATGAAAACAAAAGCAATCTCTTACCCGAGTTTATGAAAAATGTCTTGGAGCTTTTGCTCTAGACTATCTCCCAATCTTCGGCTGTTACTTTAATTTGGTTTGTTTTCCCCGGGCCGCCGTACAAATCTTGATAACATTCCCTCAGACACTCGTACTCGCTATCTTTTTCCCAAATATATATTTTGTTGCTCTTTCTGTTTGTTTATAATGTTGAAGGGAAGGGAAGGGAGGGGGGAAAGGGGAGGGAAAACCCGCATGCGGCTGGCGCCGTGGCACGCAACATGGAAATGAAAATAATATAATGCGGCTACGTGCTGCAATTTAGGCGCCTCGCTTTTCAAATCCCCCGCTGACTTTTGGCTCCGCAATTAGACCAACTAATAAGAGGGCTGGATTCTCCAGGGAAAATAGTTCAAGCTGCAGGTTGAACTTTGAACTTTTACGCATTAAATGAAAATATTCTTAATAAATCATTGTGAGTGGTGAAACTCTTTATTGAAAATATGGTTTTTCCTACTCACAATTTTGCTTACACATTTCCCAAATGACTTGCTTTTACTTCGTCTTTCTTGGCGGGTCTTTCCCCCTTTATTTTTTTGATTATTTGCAAATCTTTTTGTCAGCCCTTTTGCTTGTTATTGGGCCGTGTTATCACTGTTATCACTGCACTCTTTTCTCAAGTGGCTGGAGGCTCAGCGGCGATCGACAGGCAGCTTTTGACGGCAGCGACAACAACTCGAAACGCTGGCTACTGTGCGCTGATTCCAAAAGTCGTCGACGATGGTGCATAAATTGCTTTATGGCCCGGCCCGGACTGGAACTTCTGACTGAAACCGAGGGAACTGGGGGCTTTATGGCCACATTACTCAAGTGGCCGTAGACCAAATGCCCGGGCCTCCGGCCGTACCATTGTCCCTACACTCGGGGCTATCTCCTCGCTGGCTCGAAATGATTTTATAGCCTCGCGACCTGGCCATAAAATCATGCCCAACCGTGTGTATTGGCATTATAAAACGAATATAGTCCGGCTAGAATGAATGCCTTTATTCTGTCGTTTATGAACCCAGATTTAGTGGCTCGGTTTCGCTTTCTTCGCCTTCCCATGCCTTCAATAGTTTTCTAAGGAAATTTCTTGATTGAATCATAATTCCACCTCCTTCCCCCCTCTGAATTATATTTATATATATTTTTTTTATGACAGGGGATGATAGCACGTGGTTGATGAAATGGTACTGATTTCAAAATTCCCCCCACAATCGCGCGCGCGGAAAATTTATGGCCACCTACGCCGGCGAGTTTCGATTTTTATTTTATTCCACCATAGATTTTTTTGTTTTTGTTTTTCTTGTATCTTTGGGGCCGCAGCGATTTGGAGACGCGACATTGTAAACCTTTTGCCCGGTTGTATAATTGCATTTATTGGCATCATAAAAAAGGCGCTTTGAAGAGCAGTATCTAAACAGTAGTGATTTCTTTTCGCCCGTGGTCGCAAAAAAAAAAAAAAAAATAACTAGAATGAATGGGAGGAAAAAAAACAAAGTGAAACAAAAATAGAAATTTATGAGGTGCTCATGTGAAACTGATTAGGAACGGGTTCGCATTGGGTTCTCAGGTTCCGTTTTTGCCGCGTGACGATTTCCGCACACTCGATTTGAGTCAGATTCGAAATAAAACTAAGCTATAAATACAAATTTGTCAGCTGCAGACGCCTACGCAATGCAGCATGTTGACAAAACTGTTTGGGGAAAAACTCTCTGTTCGGCAAGGCAGGGAAAATGATTTCGTTTTTATTCCCATTTCCATTTCCATTCCCATTTCCATTTCATTTTCACGCCCCAACTGCCGAATACATTCGTATTTATAGACTTGTCTCATGCTGTGCATTTTAGTAGTTGCCCGCATGATTTATATATTTTTAAAATCATCTCGTTCCCGCTCTCCTTCTCGAAAAACAGAAGAAGAACTTCAATTAGGAGATGATGGTCCGAGATCGAGATGTGTGGAGTGCCCAAGGTTTTGCTTTCGACTCCGCTTTTGGGGCAGCCATTTTTTTCGTGTAAAGTGCGTGCAACTTCTGGCCGACTGCTTTTCATATCGGTATCAGTTAAAGCCAAAAGCGCGAGCCTGCATAGCGAAACCAGTTTGGCGGGTTCCCATTTTATCTGTATCTTAGCTCTGTATGTGTGTGTAAGTGGATGTGTGTGCAACACCATCAGCCAACCAGCATTTGAAAATGCAACATAAAAGCCAACAGGCAACAACTTTTGCAAAATACCCAACACGCAACTCGGCAACGCTTTTCCCCCCGCTTTCCCCCTCGTTTTCCCTCAATCCAAAACTCTTCAATGGCCGTGCTTTGTGTTTTTGTTATTATTGTACGGCATCGCTTGGCTCCGGCTCCGAGTGGCACATTTTGCAGTTGCCGCTGCTGCCCCTGCCTCACAATGGGGCGTTCTTCTCATTCGACGCTACGATCGTACAATGGTTCGAATGGCTCGCCAGTGCCCACATATCTAGATACAACTCGTCTTTCCCTCCTCCTCTCGAATCGCCTTGCCATCCGTGTGCAAAGTGTGTAATTATTAGCTGCACATGCCTCAGTTGACTTCAAATTGCCGTTACTGCCTCGGACCGCTGGACTCCTCTCGGATGAGTGTGGGTCTCCATCTGGAGGATCGCCGGATGGTTCAGGCTATAGCCGATCAATGGGACAGTGTTTATTTTGCTGTTGGGGTAACTGCATTGGGAAGGCTAAGCCAAGCTTAAGAGCTAATAAAATATTTACATTTAATAATAAAGAACATTAAAAATATTCCATAAAAGTGGTTCTACAAATACTAAAACAAATTCTTTAGATTTTTCAAAATTTAATAATAATATATTACTACGTTAGCTAGGTTTGCTTTTCACTTTGTTTATAAAACTGATGCCATAGTAATTTGTTATTTCTTTGATGCTCTCATGGTCAATGGCATATTAGACCTCTAATTCCCTGAGCTCCTTTCAGGGTCATGTCTTTTATCCTCCAGTCTGCGGACCTCCCGCCTGCAGGGCAACCTTGTTACTTGTTACCTTGTTGCAAGTTGCTGGGTGGCCAGCCAGCCACAACTCCGCACAAAAACCCAATAAAAATCCATACGCATTTGGACAAGGTCAGGTCCGTCGACCGTTATATAAGATATGAGATCGCAGCGGGTGTGTGTCGTCGAATTGTGTTTATCTAACGACCAAACACTGAAAACTCTGAAGACCCCATCTCGAGTCGGCCATTTATTGTGGCTCAGAGTTCCGTGAGAGCCGAAAATCGGCAAGAGATTTCAAATAATTCGCACAGCATTTGATGACCTTCTCGGTCTGTGTGGCATTTTATCTAGCCAGATATTGCCTTTGTGATCTTTATCTAAGTTGTGTGTGGTTTATTTTTATATCGCTGTGTGTTCGGTCGGGATCGCTATAAAAGCGAGAATCTCTTTTATGGTCACAGCGAGTCGCATCGTCACCTCTTCGGGGTCTCGGGTCTGCGTTTCTGTTTCTGTCTCTGGCTTTTTGGCTTTGGCTTTGGCTTTGGGTCCGCTGCTGATGAGTTGGTTAACTGATGGCTGATGGCTGATGAGCACAAATGTTGCGTTTCCCATGCTCGCTGTGGAACCGATTTGCTTATGCTTGCTGTTGTAGTTTTATAATGTGTACAATATTTTGGTTTGGCATGAGCTTATCGGCGGCCAGGCCATCATAAAATAGCAAAAAAATATACATAAAAGAAGAGGGCCAGTGGCGAGGAGTTGGCTTTGTAGACAGGACAGCTGGCAGAAGATTAAACATTGGGGGAAAAATATGTTGAGTTAATGCAAAATAATTCCTAAATCAATTCTGGTGGCTAAAGGATTTTTTAAACATTAATATTACTGTCTCTGGGTGTTCATACTATACTTAAATCATAATAAATATTTATATTATTCTGCATTTTCTCCGTGTATATTTAACACTCACTAACCATTGTCCTCCTCGCTCTTTCTCTTTGCAGATAAGATCACAGAAACCCTATTATACCGCAGATCCCGAAGTCGACTCACTGGTAAGTTGAAAAAAAGAAATCACAAAAAAAAGAAAAATAAAGAAACCAAACCAAAGCTGGCAACAAAGTTGCACAGCCTCCTTGGCAGCAAGTTGCCAAAGCCAAAGATCATGGCTATTTTTTTGTTTGTATTTTGCTGTGTGTGTGTGTGTTTGTGCATCACCTTGACCCAAAACAACGACGACAATTGAATAATTTTCTTTTATTTAGAATAAATCACAGTGAATTTAGCAAAAGCCACGGCAACGAACGCAATTTATGAGCATTTGTTCGCCAGCGCGAACTGAACTGAGTTGTTTAGTCATTTTATTGGACAGCGTTGCCATACTTTTCGCTCTTGATTTTGTTTTTGTTTCTTTCCTGCTCTCGGGGGATATAGTCGCGGCGATATCGGGGCATATAGCGGCGGGGCGGCGTACGAACCCAAGCGAACGACAATATGAAGCAGAACGATTTAATGATGCATATGACATTTTTGCACTCTCTAAATGGGCTGCCTGCAGCCTTGGGTGTGCAAAGGAAAAAAAATGGGGAAAAAATGCAAAAAATAACAACAATGGAGCCAACGTCTTGGCTTCAGTAGAATATGCATGCGCTATCATGAGGAGAGGGAGGAAAAAGGGGGAGGGGGGAAAACGGGGGCCCGATCCAAGGCAAATGCCAGCAGCACAACCTTGGCTGATGATCATGATCGCCGCTCATGATGAGCTGAAATCTCCGAGGAGCATTATTATAGTTTTGGGGAACGGAACTCATGCTAATCTGCCGAAAGGAAATGATCGTTAAAAGATCATCGAGATTTCGAGCACTCAGATACAGCAGATACAGTTCAGGGGATCAGTCAGAAATAAAGAAACAAAATGAGTCAGAGCGGCACTGGAACTTAAAGAAGATATGTTGCTGAAAATAAAGCATTCAATATATCGATAAGAAATGTTTATTTTCTAAAGCAAGTATTGAACGAAATTAAAGTTTTTTTAAACCCTTTTGAAAATGAACAAGGATTTAAATTCAAAATAGAATTTTCTAGGGGAGAACTTTAGTTCCTTTTTTAAAAATTAGTTTGAAATATTTATTTTTAATTATGGATTATTTTTAAATGTGCATTTAAGATCCTTTAACCGCCAATCCAAGGCATTAATACCAGTCGCCCATCAGATCCTTCTCCTCATCTCCTTCTTTCTGGCATTGCTCGACCGCCGAGTCATAACAATTTTTATGGCCAGAAGTGAGGGGGAAAGGGGCCAAGTGAAGGGGCCAAAAGAGATCATTTCGGAGGCAGCATCCAGCAGAATGTAAATCAAGACGGAAATGCCGCGTGCAAAGAGTGAAAAAAGCGCAAAACGAGCCATGCAATTGGCTAGCAGCTAAGCTAAAGTCGGATGATGAACAAAAAACGAAAAAAGAGGCAAAATAAAACCCAGATGCATGGTGTATATATAGCAGAGAGTCTGGCGGAGTATAAAGAGATTATGGGCAAAACTAATTTTAATTGCCGGCAGTCGTAAATGTGTCACTCACTTACCCACTCACTCACGGCGGAGTTTCCTCTGGTGGCCCTAATTTTATGCACTTGCAGATTAGTTTATTAGTTGTAGTACAAAATCACTGAAAAACCCCCCGAGTTCCTCCCCCCTTCCCCCCTTTCCCCTTTCCACTACCCCATTTCCACTATTTCCCTCGTAGATCGTCTTGGCCATGGCCGTGTGTCTATCTTTCGGCCCGCTCGCGTCTGCGTACTTTGGCCATAAATCATTTTGGCATGCCACTCTGTGGTTGCCACTCCCCCCTCGGTGCACCGCCCCCCTATCCGCTATCGTGTTTGAACATTTAAAAGTGCATTTAGTAACACTCACTTAAAGGAAGAGGCAGAAATAAAAAGAAACCCCTTGCTATAAAAATGTTTATGGCATGTCTTGGGTTAAAATGGAATTCCTGGCGGTAGCTGCAACAATAACCAAAACCAAACAGGCCACACAGCAGCAGTTAGCAGCATCGTAAAAATGTCAAATGTCAAAGTGATGTTTTAATTAGCGGCCTGGTCACACCAGCAAAAATTCAACGTTTATGTTATGTGCTTATGAGGGTGTTAGAGTGTTTTACTCAATCGATAAAAATGTTGATAGCAATATTTTATTATGTTTACTCGCCTAAAGCGGAACAAAATGCTTTAAAAATATTCAAACTGAAATCTGATACAATAACTAAATTTATATTATGTTTCTTCTTCTTTCAGATGGTGCAAGCAATACAAGTACTTCGGTTTCACCTTTTAGAATTAGAAAAAGTAAGTAACCGTTTTCACGAAATATCCCTTAACTATACTATACTATACAATTTAAGCCAGCTTAAACATTGCCGTAACTTTAGTATCAAACTGCGTTTGTGCAACCTCATCAGGGGAGGAAAAGCAGCATTTGTTTAGTCATTGCAATTAACTGAAAAAGCCAGAGTGCCGAGCCGGGCCAAGTCGTCGGGCAATCATTTATCAACGCCCCAAAAAGACCACCCAAAATGTTTAACCAGGAACCCAGGACCCAAAAACACAGTCTCCAGCCAGCAGGCCCATAAATAAAACCGGGCCCAAACGCCGGGCGAAAAAAGCAGGCAAATAGTTGCCAACGGGCGCGCATTTCAATTACCAACATTTGTGTTGACATTTTATTGAGCCATGTTGCAAGGGGGCAACAGAGGGGAGGGGGAACGGGGGAGGGGGTAGTAGAGTCCCACAGCAGGCGGTCATATATTTGCAGTCGGTCTAATACACTTGCAAAATGTCTAAATTAAAGGAGAAAGGCAAAAAAATGCAGCTGAAAATTGAAATAATTGCCAATCAAAGTGAAATATTTGTCAAAAGGGGGGGAAAGGGGAGTTGGGGGTTAACAGGATGTGGCTTAGACCACAAATATTTGGCCAGCGGCAGGTGTTTTTTTGTAGTCGGTTACAGTTTCGTGCGTAAGATAAAAAAGGAACAGTTTTCGTCTAGAAACAATGGAATGCATTCAGGTTTCGGCTTCTCTTTTGTTGTTGATACATGAGGTGTGATGACTGCAGAACTTCCCCCTCGATTTTCTAACATAATTCCTAGATAACGCAGCCACATAAATTATTTTTTCAACTAAAACCGAGGGTTTTTTTTAATGAGGAGGGGGAGTTTTATGCTGAGAGGGGTCTACAACACCTACTTGATTATTAGACACTTTATTGTCTAAATGGAAAAATTACAGGTTGCCTAATTTGTTTTAATTTCAAATAATATGCAAGCGGCTTCGGGTGCGTGTCTCTCATTCTGTGACTTAATGGAAGTTGTTCCTCAAACGTGGTCGTAATTAATGCCGGCTACCCCCTCTTTTTAGTATTTTGTTGTGTCTTTTTTGTTGTTCCTCTTGTTGTTGTTGCTGCTGCTGTGCTGAGAAAATTAATTAGGCAAATGCGCAACGAAGCGTGGAGCGAACCTAAACCGAAACCGAAACTGAAACCGAAACCCAGAGCCGGAGTTTAAGTCAGAGTCCGAGCTTGAGAGCTAAGCCGGCCAGAAAACCCGTCCGAAAGTCGCTCTTCACTCTTTTTTCAATTAAGTCTTAAGTAAGAAATTATGCAAAACATTCTACACGAACCAAACACAAAAAAAAACGAAGCACAACAAGACGGAACGCTTAGGGAATATATAGTAGAGTAGAGCTGGTAAATGTTTAATCAGAAAAACATCAAAACTATCGGTAAATACACTAATGAAAGATAAAAAAGGAATTAGAATAAAATAATCACAGAATACTCTTAAAAGCGGTATTTTAAACGCACAACATTTACCTTCGATAGGGTAATTATTTTCTAGCCCTAATGAAAGTCATTTGCCGTGGAATGCAGCTTCCTATTGCTTTCTTTAGTATACAGAGGGTATGGATATAGGCTAATGACAGCGAAAAGGAATCGAACGAAGAAGAGTCAATCAAGGTGCAATTAGTAGTCAATCACCAAACGCTTTCTAGGCCCGCAAAGCAAACAAAAGCACCAAACTAGTGCAGTAAGCCAAGTTAGTCAGTCAGTTGGCCAGCTGCAATTTGTTGCAGCCAGCCAGCACCCTGTATAGAAAGCCAGAAAAGAGCAAAAAAAAATAAACAGTCAAGATCTTTATCAACATCACAGCAGCGGCGGAGACCACGACAGGTTTTTGTTTTGTCATTTGTCACTCACACAGCTTGCGACACACACGAAACCAACAAAGAACTGTAGCAACTTGTACAAAAAACGTAAAATCGAACAACAACAACAGAAAAGTATGGCATAAAAAAACACATTCATTTATATGCAGCCAACAAAATGCAGCGGTCGATTTTTGGCGTATAAAATAAATATAAATGCAAAGAACAAAAAAACTGCAAAGAAATACAAAATATACTTAAATAAAATGTGCGGGTTGACTTGCAAAAAAAAAATAATAAAGAAGGAAAAAAAATATACAACATCTATATGGGAGCGAGTAAATGTATATCTGTATCTCTGCATATTTGTTGCCGCTGCTAAAAACAACAACAGCGAACAGAATCAGTTAAAAAGACGTTTTCAAGACTTGTGTCTGTCAAAACTGGTTTGGCAGTCTCGGTTTCTCAGTTTGTGAGTCTCGCAGCTCCAGGCTTTGGGCCCAGTCTCCAGCTTTTTAGCTTTTTAGCTCCCCAGCGCACGGACAATTCTCGTCACAGAGTCACATGCAAAAAAAAAAAAAACGAAATACAAAAAAATAAAAATAAAATACAGCAAAAAATAAAGGGGGAGCAAAAAAAATGAAGCAGGCAGGCAGGCAGGCATTGCAATTGACAAACAGACAGTGGGACGGTGGGACAAACCGACAAACAGACCGACCGACCGATGGACAGTGGGACAAATAGACGGATCCCGAGACACAACACGTTGGGTTGGAAGCACACGCTTCTCCGCCAGCAGGGGGCATCGAAATCGGGGAATCGGATTCGGATTCGGGTTCGGATTCAGAATCGGAATCGGTTGGGTTAATGCCGGCATGGGGGCACAGCAGAAACAACAGCATTTGGGGGCCTTGTTTTGATGGCTTGGCCAAGATCGCTTCGGGATCGCTGGCTAAAAACACCAGCAACATCGCCATCGACAGCTGTACACTTTTGGTTTTTGGCCGATGGATGATGCAAGCCGAGGGATGTCGAGACAACTGATGATGTTTTTTGGGATTCTTTTTTCTAGTTGAGAAGAATACAGATGAATTCATTGCAGAATTGCCAAACCAAAAAAGTTATAATGAAATTCCAAAGCTTGTAATAGAATAACTTTAAATTAATAGTTTTTATAGTTTCCAGATAGCTAAAATAGAATATCAAGAGGTAGTATCAACACTCATGCCTTGCATATTACGATTAATTGCATCGCATTTAAATGTCACAGAGAGCGGAGTAAACTTGTTAGACAGACTGTGTGTGTTGTAGGTTGCGTGCCGAGACTTTGGATGGGGAATACTCGTAAGTGAAGCTATCTATGAGCGGAAATCGAGAATTACCACTGCGCAGATTGGAGCGATTTGCATCGAGATTAGAACAGAGGAAGCTGATGGAGGAAAAGTGAGGGGAAATGGGGGGAAAGGCCATGGTAGCTGCTGTGAAAAGTTTTGCTTAACAGGATGTACAAATGAGCGTCAGCATTAAAAAGCAACGCCCTCTGGTTGCTGCTGTTGTTGTTGTTGCTGCTGCTGTTGCTGCTGTCCATGTCCGCCTGTCGCCCCTGTTGCTCGGGGGCCCACCCAATGTGCAACAGCAACAGCAAGAGCGACAGCAACAGCAAAAGCAACAGCCATGTGCAACAGCAACATGGGGGCCACTGGCAGTCATAAATATCGCAATGAGCCGTTCGAAAATGTCACATACAATGCTGACAAATTAATCAAAAGTTATCAGCCAGCCGGCATCGAAAGTCCACAGCAAGTCTCCGAAGGGCCAGAGTCACCATTCACCAGCAACCAGCAGCAACAGCAGCACCAGCAGCAGCAGCAGCAGCAGCAGCATCGCATAAACATATCAATTTGGTGGGCGCTCTCGTGTTGCATGTGCGCGGCCACAGCGGCAACATGTTGCTGGCGTGCTAATTGCACGCTTTATGGATATTGTTATTGTCAGTTTGACAGCTACAAATGCAATCATAAAACCGAGACTCCGCCAGCAACATGTTGCTGCTACTACTCCTTCTGTTGCTGTTGTTACTGTTGGTGTTGCTGTTGCTGTGGCACCTTATCAGCGACGGCGACAAATTTGACATTGTCCTGTCATAAACCAGTTGCTGCCCGTTGCTTTTTATCATCGTTTTTCGGTTTTTGCGTATATTTTTTCGGTGACAATAACATTGAAAGCAGCCTGCAAACGAGTTTGACAAGTTTGGGCAATGGGCAACAAGTTAATAGCCTGGCTGTTGCAGCTTTCGCAGGCAAAAAAAAAAAAAAAACAAGCCAAGAAAAGAAGCAGCAGCAACACAGCAGCAGCAGCAGCAACAAACAATTTGCATAAGCAACGCGCACTTTTTCGTAAATTAAATGCCTGGCCCCGGTTAAATGGAGCACCCTGTTGTTGTTGCTGTTGCTGCTGTTGGTGTTGCTGTTGCTGTTGTAGTTGGTGTTGCTGTTGTGTCTGCCAGCCATGGCTCAGTGCAATTAATTTCTTTTTAGCCGTGGCGGCGGCTGCATTCCTCTCTTTGTTGCTGCATATTTGCATATATGCCTGACTCACACTCACTTTGGCCTTATCGCATTTGTTTTATCACACACACACACACAAACACACACACACATAACAGGGCCTTAAAAACGCATTCTGTTGGCCAAGTCTCCGTGGGCCCTTTTCCCACTGACGCCAGCGATCTTCGCTCCATGTTGCTAATGCGAGTGTTGCACGTGCTGCTGTCTCATGTTGCTGCCTCGTTGTTGTCCGCTGTCCGTTGTGCTGGTTTGTTGGCCTGGTTGGTTGGCCAGGTTAGCTGGCTGGCTGGCTGGCTGGGTTATTTGGCTGAAAGTGTGCCCCGGGGCTAAGCTGCCTGCCTCGTTCGCCGGCCACTTCCTTTTCGGCCAGTGCATTATTTCGTACCTCTATGCATATTTATGGGCCTTGGTTAGAGCTAAAGCCGCTGCCTCAGCCATTTTTGAGTGCCATCATCATGGTCATGGCTTCGTGGCAATGGAGTCCCAGTCGCAGTCGGAGTTGGAGTTGGAGTTGGAGTTTTCAGGTAACGCATCAAAAGCAATTTGCATGCCATTTGCGAGGGAGGGGCGAAGAGCAGAAGGGGGATTGGGATCGAGGCAACTGGGATAAGCAGGTTTCTGGTTGGGGCAAGAATGCGATGGCGCTACGCAAGGCAATGTTTGAGCTGGCTTTGAGTGTAGATATAAGCTATAAGTGAAAAATAAATATCAGCGATACTCATTGATCAAGAAAAGAACATTTAAATTGAGAGAAAAGTATGCCATATTTATTAGTCATATTTATAATTAAAATAAGATATATTCCTTAGCAGCAGATGATCAAAGGAATGAGGAATATTTCCAAATTAATTTTAAATAAATGCTATGCCTCCTTCGATCATCTGCTGCTCTTTTTATTCCATATCCCCTTATAAACAATACCTTAGATTAAAATAGGTTTATGAATTTCCTTTAGGATATAAGCCCCTGATATCGATGAGCACCCCCTTAGCGATTAGCACCCCCCGCAAAAGCACCCCCTCCGCCCGTGAAGAAAACATAGCCCACCCCCCAAAAAGAAAAAAAAGAAATCGACTCAAACTGATGATCTCTTCTCTCTCTCTCTCTCTTCCACCAACTTCTTGGCCTTGTCCGCGGGGTTGTCTCGTTGCAGGTACACGAATTATGCGATAACTTCTGTCATCGGTATATATCGTGTTTAAAGGGTAAAATGCCAATAGATTTAGTGATCGACGAACGGGACACCACCAAACCACCGGAGTTGGGATCGGCGAACGGAGAAGGGCGCAGCAACGCCGACTCCACATCGCACACCGATGGAGCTAGTACACCAGACGTTGTGAGTACCCCCTTCGCGGGAGCACATGGTCCTATATTGGCGAGCTACAATGCGGTGGTGCACCCATGTTCGTAGTACGATAACGACCTTCTTGCAAAAACGAAGCGGGTGCTCACAATGCCCTGGGATTAAATGAATCAATAATAATAATTGCGATCAATCAATACGAAATGCCAATCGAGCGAAAAGCCGAACGATAACCACGAAAAAAAAGAAACGCAAAAGAAAAAGAAAAGAAAGTTAAGAAAAGAATGTTGCTGCACACTGTACAAGCAAATTAAGTAAAATTAATTCACTTTGTGCGAGACAAACATGATAATATTAATATTGATGAATTCAAATCCAAATCCGAACGCAGAAGAAGTTGTACGTCATTATGAACACACACGAAACACCCACACACACACATTGTAAATTAGTCAGATTGAGAAAGCGAATTGAGAGAAATAAATGAACTATTACTATATTAAATTCAAAAACACACAGAACGAACAGAGCTAAAGTCAAGCGAAAAGGAGAGCAGAGGAATTCCCTTGCCGGAGCAGCAGAAGCAACATCTACGGCGGCAACATGCAACATGCAGCATGCAGCAGCGGCAGCACGGCAGCAACATCGCCGACCTGCAGCAGCAGCAGCAGCAGAAGCAGCTGTATACGAGGACAGTAAACGACATGAGTGACGTACTAGCGACGTAACGAGCTTCCAAGAGGCTTCGGCCACAAATCCGAACCGAAAACACAAACGACCCGACGACCACGAACTGAAATACAGCCAAAAAAACAAAAAACATAACGAACTAACGAATAAGCGAACGAGACCGAATGTATCGCACGGATACGGATACCCAGTGATGTTGCCACCGCTGCCACCGGCCAGAATTTGTTTGCTCTCCTCTGTACAGTACAGTAAATGCCATAAATTTAAGTTCCAAAGCGCTGAGGACAGCCGCGTCTAACAACGCGTGCTTTCCCAGCTCATCTCAGTCCCTTTCAAAAAAAAAAAAAAAAAAACATGAAACACGTAAACACAAACATCAGCTTAAATATCTCGAGCAGATTGTAAATGATAAAGATAAACAGACGAACAGACAAACAAAATGAACAAAAGCAACTGAGCAACAATAATTAGAGCAACAAACAATTTCGCTTAATTTGTAAAAAGTACCAACAACTAAAGAAACAAAAGCCAGATAAGAAAAGCATAAAGTAATCGAGAACTAAATTACAACAATGAACAATGTTCCAGAACTTCGTTTTTGCAAGAGGCCCATATAGCTCGCCAATATATTATTAATTATTATTAACAAAAAACCCAACACTCACACACACCATTAACCAACTATTTTTGATTATTTTTCTTTACTTAACCCACACTGAACACCCAAAAAAAAAAAACAACCAACCAACAAGTAATGAACTTATATTATGAGAAAGTTTACTAACCCCAAAACTAACCAATTTTTAACAATTTTACATATGCACATAACTCTATATAGAGTTCTATATAGAAACTATATATAAATACCCACAATACGCATATATTATATATGTATACTGATATGATACGATATACGAGAGCTGGCCTGACTTTTCTGCCCTGATTTTCTTTGGGTACTCAGGCACGGTCACTTAGACAGTGGGATCGATAAGTCCGCTTATCGATTTTTGAGTTTGTAAACTTGTAAATACTTGACATCCCCCGTCCCTCCTCTCTGAAAAACAACAAAAACAACAACAGCAACAAGCAGACACTGACATAGCCCAAAAAAAAAATAAATATATAACAAAAACAGATAAATAACAGCAGACACAGATATACCCCAGCATTTCTAAAATCTCTCTCTATCTATCCTACGAAAATTCTTACGTAAATCTGTGCCAATTACTTGGAAAATGATCACAGCCCAGCACCCAAGACTTTTCACCGCTGGAGGAGACCTATGCCAGCTATCGCATCAAACACGAGGCGGACTTCTAGTCCCGCCCCGCCTTTTACCCCTCGAGTCCCCCAAACAGTTCTCTTAAAACCAACTGAAAGGTCTATCTAATATAGATATAACGCTTAGCCATGTAGTTTGTAACTAAATCCAGTCTAGGCTGCGCTTAACGAAGTTCACTCGCAAGTGAAAAAATAATGAGAGAGAAACGAACGCTAAGATTATAGTTAATTCCTAGAAACTTCTAAACATATTTTCTATGCTTAGTTTTCAAATTGTTTTCTCTATGTTTTCGGGAGTTTTTCACTTTAGCAAACGTGTATACGATTTTTCAAAACAAAACGTCCTTTTTCTCTGCGCGTGTTTTACAACACCGGAGAGAACTTGCCAAATAATAAGAAAATGCAAAAAAAAAACTAAAAAACTAAATGAAAATACGAACCTATTTTCGTTGATCTTTTTGTTTAACTCTCATCATGCAACGCATATACGTAAAAAGAGATACCAGAAAAGAAACCCAAACCTGAGTTCAAATGCAAAGTATACGAATAAAACTTTATTGTTTATTGAATAAAAACAAAAACGAAAAAAAAACTTAAAGTTAATTTAATTAATTGAGGATTGCAATGCGCCTATACGAACGACATTTTAAATGAGCCGATAAACTTTCAAGAACAATGATATACGTAAATCAACAGCAACAACTAAAACAAACTAAACAAACTTTAAGCATTTACTAAAGCAAATCGAAAACTACGCGATACTATTATTATTAAATAAATATAAATGAGGAGAGAAAGCTAATGTAATTTAATTGAATTAGAGAGCAGCCGAGAAACTTAGAGACCCCTCGCTCCCCTCCCCCAATTGTATACTATAGCGTACGTTATATAGTTCTTAGTCAGTCCCCCGATTTCCCCAATTTAGGAGTTGTATGCAATCGAAACTCAAAGATACGAAAAAAAAGAAACGTTAGCAGCAATCCCTTCTTCTAGAAACCAAAACCAACAAACAAACACTTTCTACTGCTAATTTCTACTACTATTTTGAGTTGTAGACTACTAAACCAACAAACTACAAAAATGTACTTAAATCGAACTGCGATCGGTCGGTCGCAGTTCTTCAGCTATATGGGCAGTCATTTGTATACTTAGACTATAGTCGAACCGATTCCCAGCGGTTTATTATAGCCAACTAACTAAACGACAACAACGTGAAAAGCTTTTGTACTATTTTTTCAAAACTACAAAACAAAAACTTTCTTGCAAAATTTAAAACAAATTTGCAAACAAAAAAAATTAAAATAGTTGTTGTACTTTGTCTCAAACCCAGAAAAAAAACTAAAATTGTATGTAAGAAACTAAAATTAAACTTGAAAAATTGCTGTAATTATGTAATAATTTTTCTGTTAGCATAATTCGCCGCTATTTAGTTAAAAACAAAACAAAACATTGTTGCAAAAAAGGAGAGAAAACACGAAGATGAACACTTTGTTTCCTATGATTTTTGTGTGAGCTTTTTGCATTTTCGTTAAATATTATTCTTTAATGATTTTTGTATTAAATGTTTTGCTACCAAAAAAATACAAAAATTAAAAAGAGAAGCAAAATTTTTTATTGTTGCATTGTAAAAATAAACTTAAAATACAAACACAAAATACTGAAACTGAAATACGTAATTGCTTTAGGTGATATTTTATAAAAATATAACACAAGTAAAAATAATAATAAAAAACACTAAAATTAAAAAATGATGCAAAAAATATACGTAATATGTTTTAAAAATCGAAAGAAGGCGCTTTTTTGCTTTTTACTATTTTTAAAATAAAAAATAAATAAACTAATTAACAATAATTTGAGCAAACATTTTTTAATAATTATTATTATTGTTTTTACAAACAAAACATTTTATTTAGTTTTTAGCAAAATTGTAAAATGAAAGTAAATGTTATAAGAAATGAAGGAAAGAAAACGCAATCAAAAAATGAGAGAAGAAAGAAAAGTAAAATATAAATCCAACAACAAAAACAACCAGCAACTTCTATACGATATACGAATACATTTTAATGTAATATTTTTAATTATTTATATGTATACTAATAATATAATTAAAACAAGGAAAAACAAAAACCCAGAAGGATTAAGTAAAAACAAAAAAGAACTACAGAGTAAAGTTTAAAGAGTTAGCCAATAAATATATGAAACAAACGAAGAAACAAAAACAACAAAAAAACCAAAATATATTTGAAAAGTATAAAACAAACTGAAATCGATTTTTTTCTGACTACCTTAGTATATAAGCGTGAAAGGATTATAGGACTTCAAGCGGAATGGAACTGGATTTAGTACGAAACTATCATCACGAATGGACTTTCTGCCGATCGAAAACCCAAAGAAGGATGACCATTCTAAGCTGAACTGAAAAAAGCTGCGAAACTTTTCCAATTTTAGATCAATCTGCCAACATTTGTTGGGTTTCAGATTGGCAAGCTCTATAGATGGATTTATTTGTATCCCTTAGGGACTTCTTCTACTTTTCAGCCGCGTTTGAAATCGTTCTACGTATCCTCAAGATCTTTGTGAGCGATGGTATAACCTTCCTTAGGTTTTCAGGAAAACCTGAAATGACCTCAGGGAAGTCTTACTCAGTTGCTTAAATTGAGCTTGATGAGAGTGATATATACTAAAGATTTTGTGACTTTCAACGCAGAATAGGGCTCATACTATTATTATAATAATACTACTTTTCTTAAAACCATTTAAATAACAATTTATCTCTTAAAAATATTACCCAAATATATCTTTATTCTTCTTACAAATCTTTGAAAATGTAATTATAACATTTGTGAACTATCCCCCAATCTATAACTTTTTAATTACGAATTTCTGACCGAGATGTCTGATATTTTGGCCTGTTCAGGAACTCGAAACTGGACATAACTCTGGCTCCTGTTCCATTAACAGCGGGTGTAAGCTGAGAGGAGTCCGGCTCGTATTACCCGAGTTGAAAGGCAGAAACCGGCGGCACGTGTAAGCCGCTTAAGTTGCAGAGGGAGGTTTTCGAT